TTTTATTCTTTTGTCCGCATCCTGATATTTTTTCAACGTTACTGGCAGTGGGAGACCGGCAGCAAGTTGTTCTTACTATACTTCGCGTCCCTTCTGCACTTTAAAGAACCTATCAATAAACTTCCATACCGACGGGTGTAGCATTCTCAACTCGATCTGAATTCGTCGTTGAGTTGCTTCCGCGTAGTTGTTCGTACGGTGATTGCTGTTGCGACCACATTTCTAGTGAAAACAATGCCGGATATCTCGCATTTGTCCTACGATTCATGAGACCGACGTAATTGTCTTCGAACCACCTAATTAGCGGCTGTAGATCGTTCGGATGTTCTTCAGTCAGCCGGTTGATTGCTTCATCCAGTCCAGTAATGGGCACAAACACCAATGCTGTTATCATCGTCGCTTTCTGCGCGAAATCAGCATCGACGTTGTACGCACTGAGCAAATGCAGTTCACTCAGATGCTTCTTCATGTTGTAGTTCAGATGGTAGAAGCATCCATGAAGTTGAACATTCGGCAATGCTTTCTTCATTGCATCCATCGGCGCAATTTCGAAGTCACAAGAAATCGAATTTGGGTGAAGATCCGAGACAACTGCTTTTAACATCTGAAAGAGCATATTGTTCGTCGTCGTCGTCTGTTTGTACAGAAAAAGCATGTATACTACAGGATGGACTCAATCAAACCTTTCTGCCAGCATTGGAGAGAACCTGTCGGTGAAAGTTGAAATGTTTCATCTGCAAACCACGTTCTCAACTGCCTCAAGATCTGCAGGTTTCCCTACGTGCCAAAAATCAATATACTATTGGGTCCAGGTTCACCGGCACCAATCAGAAACGATTCAAAAACATCTGGTTGAGGTTCATACCTTTTACATGATTCCGGCAGAATTACTGTATCTAGATTTATGGGAGTTGATGGAGCGGCGTTCACTTAATGTGAACAATCTTCGCATTACAATCTTCTTAAGTGCTCAAAGATTTCGAAGAAAACCCTGAGTTTCTTCCGACACTCCAACCGCGCACTCGTTTATAACTTGCACGGGCGCTTCCATGCTGTCTTTGGCACGTCCTTTAGTCTTTGTCAAAAGCTCCACTCTCGCTGCCAGACTATCACGAGAATGTTCACCAGTCTTCATGGCAACAGTTGTGCCTGCCGTGTGTATCCTTGCTTTGCACCGACCCTTCTGCTGACAACGCCAAAATTTCTTTGTTCCGTCAGCGCTATATCTGTCAAAGACATAGCAAAAGCCCTTGACGAAAACTACTCCCGGACTCGTTTTGTAAGTGGCATTGCGAACATCCTCGATACACTCAATGACTCACTTTTCCGGTACTCAGGTACAATTCATGTGCATAATATAAACAGCGATATAAACGTGATAGTGGAACTAATTTGTCCAGATGGTGTCAGTTTACAGTGGCTACAACAATACTGCTCTCTGAATTAACGAGCTAGAGCAGCCATAACCATGAACCAGTAACCATGAAGTGAAAGAGAAATATTGGGAATTCATAAATATGACAGAGGATTCATGTTGTGCTCTCAAAAACGTTTAGCATTGTACTCAGAGATAAAAATTCTCTAATACGTAGAAAATGAACACCTGCTGATGGACGGTCAAACTCGTGACCGTACGATGCGCGCTGAATTAATGAGTTTTCGCAGGCAGAAAAATGGAGTCATAAAATAGAACAAAAAATGTTAGGAATTCATTAATTTGACAAAGTTTAACACTGTACTCAAGGAGAGTTTGACATGGATATATAACCAACATAGTGGGTTAGATATTAAGTTGATCGAGATGACTACAGTCCAGTCATATAGAATCAAACTTGCGCCACAGGAGTGCACGATGATAACGACTATCGATCAGTACCATAACGGCTGGCGCCGAAACCGCCGTGCCGAGTCATCACAGACCGGCAGCAGCGTCATCAACATCTGTTTTCTTCTTGAAGCAAACCGAAGTGCCAAAGCACTCCAGCGGAGTGCCAAAATTTATCAAGCATTGCATGCAGTTTTCAAAGCACCACAGAACAGCAAGTTATTGCCCACCCAGTGAGCGTAATGCACTCACTAACAGAAGGTGCTCAAGATTATAGTAATGAAGCGGTCACGCAGCACTCGCTTGCTGTCACTTAACGATTAACACCGTCCATGATGTTTGACATGTAAGCTCTCAAATAAAGTCTTTCTATTTTTCGACAGAATATTCACTATTAGCACAACGTTCTATACAACGAATCTGCAAGAAATTCAGAATCATTCACATCTTTCAATTTTGTTGATATCTCCAGATCATAAACCGAACAGATTTGGCCCTGAATGGCCATTTCTGAGAGGTAAGAAATTACAGCTTCTAGGTAAGTGTTTCATAACGCCATTTCCAACGTACATGCTTATCCTGAAATTCAGACTCTGAAATTTAATTAAATGTTTAATTTATTTTCATATTTGCTTTTACACTTGTGTTGAGTTTCAGTCAGTCATAAGGCGAGTCAAGTCGAAATGCAGAGATAAGGCACACACACCAGAGAGCATATTCGCTACCCTCCGCTTCGGCATGATCAAATCAAAACGTAAACTTGCCCCTGTTATTCGCAGCGATCTGCTAACCGTTTTTCAGCTGGTTACACTGAAACACAGTGGGGTAACTTCCTTCCAATCAAGTGAATTAACAGTTAATAAGAGAAAATTGACACCGTGATTTTGGGTTTGAATTCAACAATTCTAGAGTATAAAGAAAACTACTGGTTCGTTACGCTACTTTCTCGCCTCTCCAATTAATTGACAATTTTATCTAAGTACTAAAAAATATACACTTATCTAAAATTATGCTTTTCCAAAACCATATTCTGACGAATCATTATGATTCAGAAACACACGTTTACGCACAAAGCTGTGACAAAGGTTTATGCGTTTTGATTTAACAGGAAAAGTGATTAACCCTCAACATCGGGAAGGTTTATATCTAATTTCGTGCAGCACATTTTGACAAAGGTACGTTTCTAACCAATACATTATGATAACAGCAAAAAAGCTTTGCAATACATGACTTGCAGTTCCCTACCCGTCTATGGAACAAGGTATCAGATTATCACGAAATACCTCAATCTGCATACTTCTCTGAAGGGCAGGATTTTCAGAAGCCTCCATTTGATAAGTGACGGCAGCAGAAACTTGTTGAGATCCGATTTTTAAAGTACCCGCTGCCGGAAGAGCCCTGCAAAGCGCAACTGACAAAAAACGCATGTTTTCAGGCCTTCCTAAAATGTCATAGGGTTAATGCATGCTTTCAGCGAACTGCAAAGTAGTACGTACCAATAATTCTAACACATCGATTAGTTTTGACGTTAACCACCTTCACGCCGATCATTGTTGGATAAAGAACGAAGTTGCCGCTGTCGTCGAAAATCACTTTCGACAATCGCAATACTGAATTACTTTGAAAAAGTTCCTTTTCCACTGCCAATCTTCGACTGAACTCCAAATTTGACAGATCATGCTTGCTTTTATCCTCGGTATAATTCGACAGTGACTCGTCGATAACCTTGTATAACTTACCGGTCAAGAATCTGAAAAGTTAAGAACATGAAAAAGTGAACGAACAGCACTTTGATACTTACAAAGTTTATTCGCACTTGAACCTCATTTCAAATATCATTGTCTATCAAAGGCACGGAAAGCGTGATGTATTACAATAAGCAGTAAATATATTTGCCATTTGGTAATGCTCTTGACGCATGTGCAATTTAGGATAAAGGAAAGACTGCAAGCTTTGGAATTACGGACGTCCTTACACTTACACAATGGGACCAATTCTAACATCTTTGTTTCCATGAAGTTAATGGTGGATCGGGCAGACTCCATTTCCGTCATCACTATATAAGGACTGCCCCAATTTTAAAGGTAGAATCGACAGCAGCTATGTGACAAGCATAGTCTGTATTCTCCTGTTCCTAACCTTTCATTTATCAATGGTGCTCTTTTATTAAACTGGAAAGGAGAAAAGGTGATTGACACGGACGGAAGCCGAAGCCCAAATCCAGCACGCCTCGGCCTCGGCTGAGTCTGATAGTCCACTGACCGAGTGACACCGGTCTGAAGAAACGTGTGATAAATACATCGCTGGAATTCGTGGTGACGCCAAACACGGCCCGCAGAGAGAATCGAACTAGGCACCTCCGAACCTTGAGTTCGAAGTCAACCTCGTACGTACTGCACAATCACGCAGCTTAGAGTGCGCAGTTAACCGGCCGATTTACGGCTCCCCTGTGCAACCAGGGTGACAAAAAATATTCTAAGTGGTGGGTGTTCTACAGGATATGCTTACAGTGTGATCTAAAGACTGGCTCTGAATTAAAGTTTACAAATATGCGTTTACTTAAACAGGTTATCATCGTTTAAATATTTTTTTATAGTTTGGTTCAGTTTCAGGCAGTGCACAAATAAGTTAAATCCGAAGCAAGATCCACCATGATGTTGTGTTTCAAGGTTACAAGCGGGGACTATGGTCAAATCTGGTGCATCTCTCCTTCACTATTTTGGATGACGAGCTCTGTTTTAGTACCAGGACTGGTAGCGGTTCCTGACGCATTTTAAGTGTTCTGATTATACATGCAAGGATGCAATGGTACACTGACGAGTTAGCAATGAGAAACGCATGTGAGTTCAACTTGACAATTTTGTTACGTAATAGCGGAAGCCATGCTGGAATCTTCTTCTATGCTTTTTCCTGCAGGTTAATCATGTTTTTTGCCCGTTCTACCGTGACTGAATCCAAGATCTTTCTTCTCCGCTAGTTGTCTTCCGCACGAACAATACTCTTTTAAGGCCACATGATGTGGTTCTTTACAATACTGTGTTCCGCGAAGGAAGAGCCCCTCTTACCTGTTCTGATGAGACACAACACGTGCTCCCTGACCAGGCTGTCCAAAGTAGCTTTACCCGCATGAGTAGTTTATCTCATACGGTATCGCGGTATCTTCTTGATGCGATATGATGCCCTTTTCGTACAGGAGGCCGTTAATCATGTTGAAGGAGGGGCCTGCACACTGTGATAACCTCAAACGTCTTCATGATATCCCACTGGTATGTTGTCGTCCAAACATTTTATATATCTTACTATAAACCGTGATTTTTGGAGAGAGCGAAGATTGGCGGTTAATCTAAGCATTATCTGCTCTAATCATCTCACAGGCTGTTAAGTCTTTCGTGGATAAAGTGAAGAAAGTCTTATAGACTGCCATTATATCAAGAAGCACTATATGCTAATCAAAATCATATAACGGGTTATTCGCAACAAGCACTTCAGCAAAGATCTCGACATAATGATTCCGATTTGTGCCAAAGATACGATCCTTAGACAACAGCATAAAAAATAGATATATGCGTCAAAACCAGGTCTGCAAGTACTCATTACAAAACTTACTGCTGTTCTGGTATTTGTGGTTAACAGATGTTAAGCAGCAGAGAACTTACATCTGATGGCAAAGCCTTAGCCCCATGCGCACAGACTCTTACAGGAATGCGAGAAAACGAAACATCCCTGTTCGCCAGCAACTATACTAAACAGTTTACAATATTTGATATTGTTATATTATTCCAACCCGTCCCTTGACAGTGCATGGTCCCCAAGCTGACACAACAGCAAATTGAATAAAATGTGAAAGTCACTTAAATTAAAACTTCAATTTTTAAGGTCCCATGCTCCGATGAGCATGCAGAAGGGTTGGAGACCTGGCTAAATCTCCATAAAATCTAGCCATCAGCCCTTAACGGTATTAACGTCATCGAAAATTATACCGGCTAGGTCGTCGCACGGATTACCAAGGGCCGCCGGGGAACTGAATCAGGCTACGAAAATTCCCAAAGGTGCTCAACGCCCTCTGCCAGCCGGGGGCATAGCAGCACAACGGCTGATGAAGATCGAAAGAAAGACGACGAATATACCAATCAGTAATGGACTCGCTACTCGTTCTGAGCAGACAGCGTAATGCTATTAAAGCACGTCAGAAAAGGTTCCACGAGAACGACACCACCAGTGGGAGCTTAAAGTCGGAAAATATATATCCTCACTCAGAGGTAAACAACAAGAGGTTAGTTGATGAGGCCATAAAGTATCAACTCGATACTGTGGACCTCTCGTCAACGAAGGGCCAAGGCTCTGGAATCTTGAACAACTGCGGGTGGAAGCTATTCTACTTAGGTGTCGATATCACGAAGCGCGCTCATGCCGGTGTTGGCATTTTGGTAGAACCTAACCTGGTTCATAGAATCACTGAATGGAAACCCGTCAGCGCAAGAGTGGCAATCTTCCGACTGAAGCTACAACAGGCTAAAGCGTTCATCTTGTTACAGCACTATGCGCAATAAACAGAGGAACAAAATGATTCATTCCTTGAAGAAGTCCAACGAGCTATTTACGAAATGCCGAATATGGAGATCCTCATACTCAGGGGCGATTTTAATGCGGAGTAGAAGTTGAAAAGTGGAACGGCGTGATTGGGAAAAACGGCCCTAGCGACCTCAATAATAACGGC